CAATTCTTATTGGGAAGCTGAATATCTCTACTGAGTTGTGACTGGCACCTTAGCGTAGGCTGCTAAATCAACTCTCACTTCATTCCTGCCTGTCAAGGTTCTCCTCAGACCCCTGTGAACCACTCCTAATCATGCTGATGATTATGCTTTGTTAAGCATCAGAAAATTAGCTCCAGGCCACATATAAGCAGTATGAGCTCCATTGTTTGGGTCCATGTTTCAGTGATTGCTCGGTCTAACTGCACTTGATGCAGTACTAAGAGCACAGGCCTATGCTGCCGGGTGTGCATTGAAAGTTGGCTCTGTGGGATTGTATAATAATTCAGAGTTGCACCAGCCAGAGGCTGGCTGATAGCAGGGACTGGAGGTGATCCTCAAATAGTGCTAACTTATGGAAGCAAATTTGGCGTACATTGGCAGTCAAGTCAGAAGCTGCTGAAAGAAAATATTTGCATGACTAGTTTGGGGATCCACAGGCAGAGGTGCAGTTACTTACAGCAACTTGCAAGGATCACTTCATAACCTTGTAATGTAGTTGCCCTTGTGTTCATGAGGTGTACCTACACAGCTGTGTAAAAACAGCATGTGTGGTTGTAGGTGGGCAGACACTGGTTAGGATCAAGAGGTCCAGGACATTTTATCAAGTGGAGCTCTGTGCCCACTGTTCCCACAGGTTCCCTAATACAACCCATAAACTTTGTGTCTCCTCCAGTGATGTAACCTCCAAATATTGGGGGTCACTGTAGAAGTCCTCTCAAGAGATTTGGATATCTGCTTGGGATATCTTCCAGTCTGCAGTTCACCGTGGAGAGAGAAAATTGGCATTCACTTTACTCATAGTGCTGGCATCCCTTATCAATCCCTCAGAGTGAGTCTCCCAAGTGGCCTAATGCTGCAACAGGAGATGAGCTGAGCAGGGATCTCCAGCTCCATTAGAGCTATCAGCCACACACAACTCATCCCAGGTTACATCTTACATCTTGGAGTGTTTCTTCCATGGTTTCTGTTACAGCCCACTGAAATCAGCAGGACCACTGATTCTGCCAGTTAACCCATTTTCTGGTTGCAGCGAGTCAATGTGTGTAGGTAAGGCTTCTCTAGTTGGATACACTGTTGGCTTGATTACTTGATTTGCTTTTTGCCCTAATGCTTCCACCTTCTGTAATGTTGATACCCCATGCCTGCATTAGCAGTGTGCATGGTTAGTCTTGCATACGCTACAGACTCAGAAACTCTTCTATGGTGTTTCCTCCAACTTAAATATGACAGGCCGCTTGCAGCAACGTTAACTCCCCTGTTCAGGTTGGGGTAGTGATCATGCATGAACCAGGATAGGGGTCAGCATGGGCTTTGAGAAGGGACACAGTCCACAACGTGGGCCTTTCCTCCTCTTTATCTACCCTCCAAAGCATACTTGGATTAGCATGGGCAAGAGAGTGCTTGAATCCTGTAACTGTCTGATTAATATTTAACCAGAGTAGACTCCTTCATATAGCACTATTACAGGGGTAGGTGATAGTTTTGTACCTGAATTGCAAGCAGTTTAAATATGGTGTGACTAGTGGGTTTGTTACCTATTCAGGTAATGCACAGTTCTGTTTCTCCCTTCATAGGTAGGGGACATTTATTCCCCTCATTGCACTGGCAGCATACTGGGCTTGAGATTAAGTATCAGAATCACAGAATCGTAGAATAGTTTGGGTTGAAAGGGACCTTAAAGATCATCTATCTCCAAACTGCTTGCTATAGGCAGGGACACCTTGCACTAGACCAGGTTACTCCAAGCCCCATCCAACCTGGCCTTGAACACTTGCAGGAATGGGGTATCTACAACTTCTCTGGGCAGTCTGTGCCAGTGCCTCACCACCTTCACAGTAAGGAATTTCTTCCTATGTCTAATCTAAATCTCCCCTCTGTCAGCTTACAGCCATTCCCCCTTATCCTATCCCTACATGCCCTTGCAAAAAGTCCCTTTTCAGATTTCTCATAAGCCCCTTTAGACAGTGGAAACTGCTCTAAGGTCTCCGAGCAGCCTTCTCTTCTTCAGGCTGAAAAACCACAACTTTCTCAGACACAGAGAAGTGTCCCAGCTCTCTAATCATCTCTGTGACCTCTTCTGGACTCTCTCCAACAGATCCACATCCCTCTTGTGTTGGGGACCCCACAGCTGGGTGCAGCACTGCAGGTAGGGTCTTGTGAGAGCAGAGTGAAGGGGGAGAATCACCTCCCTTGATCTGCTGGCCATGCTTCTTGTGATACAGCCCAATATGAGGCAGGCTCAAGGTTGTAGACAAGAATCTCCATGTATAGGTTGGGTTTCCTCATGACAGTCTCTCATCCTCTTCCGTATGTTTGACCATTGCATGAATTATGCTAAACCATAGTATGTTTCTGCCATGGCTGTAGTTCACTCTCTGTAGCCAACCTGCCGTTGTGTTATAGTATTGCTACAAGGGTTGGGCCAGGATTATATGACAGAGGTGTAGGCTGGTGTAGTAACAGTGGTATGAGAAGGGTAATTTGAAGGTGAGGGTGGAAAATGGCACAGGTAGAGCTGTCTCTTCAGAGCCACATTCTTCCCTTATCAGGTTACAAACTAAGAAACCTAGTTTTCTGTACAAGAAACCTAGAAATCACCCAGTCCCACAGCAACCAGTGCTTCCTGCCAAGCCCTCTCCATCTGTATCTCTGCCAGGGCCAAGGTTGTACTACAGCAACAGTGACTGTGCCAGCTCCACATGGGTCATCTTGTTTGCCTGTGTCTAGCAAGGTGTCTACCCTTTCTTGCTTTTAAGAAATGTAGCCCACCCTTCACCTCAACCTTGGCCTTGCTTGGTAGGGCAGTATTTGTAGGGTGTAGGCAGACCAGCCTGTCCCCAGCCATGCATCCAATGGACACATCTATCCAAGTGACCCCCCTACAATAGGGGTGGCTTGTAGTGTGTATTTTGATACCTGCTACACATGTAATGAGGGGTGCAAGAAGGGTGCACTTACCATTGGTGTCATGGCTATATGGGGCTGCAGGGTCCCGCTTTGTTCAGGTCCCATATAGCTGTATAGATAGCAGTCATCCCTCCTTCATGTCTTTTGACAGTCACTGGTCTGCAAAAGTGGATGGATGTCTGTAAAACAAAGAGTAATTCACTTTTTGTAGTCCAAAACTCTGCAGTTTATAGGATCCTGCTTACCATTTGCCACCCTCATTATGTGAAGGTACAAGATTGCCTGCCTTCATTCTTCTTTTAACAGTCTATACTATTTTGCTGGAGCCATTCTTGAAAACCGTGTACTTTTGATCCATCACTGTTTTGTCAAGGAGCAGGGGGCCTCTAGGGTGTGGCTGCTTCAGGAAGGGGTCCATGTTCCTCCTTATGTGAAGATGCACAGTGTTTTAGCAGGTTTTTGCACTGAGTTAAGATTCTACTGCCCCATCTCCTCTATGTTTGGTGCTTCTTTTGAAGATATGAAGGTGAACCTTTGCTAGGCAATGGGAAGCAGCTGTCTCATTCTTCCTCTCTTCTGTTAATGCCTGTTAAAAGAGTCCATGCCACCAGGTGTGAGCTGGGTACCTGTGTTGCCTGGTTTCCCATCAGGGCTCTTGTATGTTACAGCGCTCATTAGGGAAATGTGATGCTGAGCCTTTGCCTGAGGAGCTGTTCCTATCTCAGCACCTGACCAGCACCTGTGGCTCAGCTGGAGGTACCAACCCCTGGCCAGATGCACTGCATTGGTTGTCGCTTTTCCCAGTGTTTGTAGTTTCTGAGATATTTGTAGGGGTCCTTCTGGAGATGGAGCTCCTGTACATGCAGGGCTGAGTGCATGTCTGTTACATGGGTGGAATTAAATGCAGAAAGAAGCATCCTCTTACGTCTTATTACAAAGGAAATAAGTCCTCAAGTCTTGATTTTGGCACAATGAAAGAGTAAAGAAAATCTCAATACTGCAAGGTAGTTTATGTGTTTAAAAGACAATCATTAATAATACAACATAAGGACACCTTACATGCGCACTTCTGACAACCCGACTCTCCATTAAATCACTGTATTCACTAAAGTAGATCTCGCTGAGGGGTTTGGTCAATGGGACGTTTAAAGATTTCAAAACATGATTTTTTTTTCCAAATCATGCTGAAAAGCTGGAATCTTAGAACATTTCAGAACACATCGAATTTCACCCTCCTTGAAGAGGTTCATTCTGCTAGTATCAAAACATTTCATTTACTTGAGTAATTTTTCACTGTTAGGGTATGTATCAAGTGAAAAATGAAACAGGTATTTTAACTTCATACAAAGAAAATTCATTAATAACATTTCCTTTGAAAATAAACATAATAATTCTATTCTGAACTATTTCTGTTCAGTCTAATCAGCATCTTGTGCTACAAAATACTTCCAGGAGAAAATTTCAAAAACCCCGATACTAACTATCCCCTAGAAGCAGTAAAAAAAGTAGGCATTCAGCCAGGATTAATAGCTCAGCCTGGTACCCCAGGAAATTCCCTTTCTGTCATGCTCCAAAACCTTATCAATAGGTGTCTTTGGAAATCCTAACCACTGCTGGTGTGAAAATACAGTAGTTAACATTTATAATTACAAAATTGCTTTAAGGAAACCTTGTCCTTTTGCTACTTTGCTGGGAAGAGCCTGGTGCCTGTGTAACCTCTCTACACTAGTTTCATCCATCCATTAACTAATATTCGCATCCTTTTCCTTTCCTTAATTTTGGTAGAGCTCATTCAGTGTTAAAATATGTGCTGGAGTGCTACCTAGCTTCATCAGATACCTACGGAGATACATACGTATCTCATTTATTTTTCTCCAAATGAGTTTCCGTGATGATCCAAACCATTCCAAGTTCTCCCTGATTTTTGAGGGTTGTTGGGCATGCACTCTGAAGGGATGGGCAGAGCAGCTTGCATGTGTCAGTTGTTTTTGAGCCATGAATAACTTAATGAAAATTGCCTTGTGACAAAACCCTTTCTCTCTTTTTCCAAACAGCTAACATGCCAGAGGATTATCCAGATCAATTTGATGAGGTAGTGGACTTTATTCAAGCCACTATTAAAAGACTGAGGAGGTCACCAGATAAACAGACCCCAATTTTTAATAGGCGGGAGAGAAACCGGCAAAACGCAGCCACAAACACAGAGAATACCAGCAAAAAGGGGAGGAGGAATCAAAAGGGAAAAAATCGGGGATGTGTCTTAACAGAAATACATTTAAATGTGACTGACTTGGATTTGGGATATGAAACCAAAGAAGAGCTGATTTTCCGGTATTGCAGTGGATCTTGTGATGCAGCCGAGACCACGTACGACAAGATTTTAAAAAACTTAACCAGAAAGAAGAAACTAGTCACTGACAAAGTGAAGCAGGCCTGTTGCAGACCCACAGCCTTTGATGATGACCTGTCCTTTTTGGATGATAACCTGGTTTACCACATACTGAAAAAACATTCCGCAAAAAGGTGTGGATGTGTCTGACTGCTGCACGCCAGAGGCAGCGCCTGTTTTGCATTCCTGCTATGACGCAAAAATAGGGACCAAGGTTCCTGGGGATATGTCTGCTCAGAGCAGAAAAAAGGACCAAGAATGCAGAACGAGGTGTTGTGAGAGCCTGGGGAGGGCGCGAGGCGGCATAGGAGGATGGAGGCTTTTGACGTCCTACGGGAAAGTACATAAAAGCTCAGGTGGAGATGCTGACGGCTGGATGGCATGCGTGCTCCCTTTCCCGTTTGACACAGTTCACCATCAGTGGGACTCGGATCCATGAGGAATGTGCTTAAAAACACAACCCTGCCATACCATGTTGTGTTGTAACTATACCATCTGTGCCAGGAAGCTTAGCCAAGAAGTAGTTTAGGAATACCTTACTCATCCCCTGTGCCCTCAGCTTTACTGAAAGACACATTGTGCTACTGCTCATTGAAGGGTGGTTCTTAAGCGCTTAGGACAACCTCAAAACTATAATAAGATTAACATTGTAAGTAAGATGATATCAGGCAAATATCAAAATCTCAAGGCTCAAGTTCTCTAGGGCCAGTACTGATATGAAACAAAACAGTTCCACTTACTGGTTAAGTTTGATTATTTCCATCTCATGTTTTTGCAAAAGGAGTGTAGGATTTCATTCTTCTGCTACCTATGAAAACAAGTTGAGTTTTTAAGCACTTCTTCCTAGTATAGTAAGACAAGTAACAAGCCCCATCTAGACAAAATGTGTTTCTTTTGGTTTACAAAGGACTAACGTCACTTGCGTAACTACATTTCTATTTGGTCATTGTGAGTGAGCAGAGACTACTGATGCAATGCATCCATTCAGAGACATAAATATACAGAAGATATTTATTGAGATTAAGTTATTGTTATTTATTACAGTTCAGTAATGAGTCTCCTTTCCTTATTTATTAAAGATTCTTTTCAAAGGTGCCAAAGTAGAAGGTGCTTGGAAGACACAGAGAGACAATGAAGTTGGGAGCAACAGTCCATGCTTTTGATTGAAATAGTTAATTTGAATGCAAAAAATCACTTACTTTACCTTTTTTCTTTAAAACAAAATCCTGATTGTGTTCACAAAATGTAATGCCAAAGCCTGCAGCCCTTCCTCCTGTTCACTAATACTGCAAAAATTACTGCAGTTATACATGTGCAGGAGCAGCAACAGCTCTGGACAAGCAAGGGTCGCAGGACTTGGCTCAACGTTAGCAATTTGTTAGAAGAACTAATTCTAGTCATATTTTAAATGTAGCCACATTTTTTTTCTCACAGTTTTTGCCAACTGACCTCACATAACTATTGACAAATGGAAAATAATCACATTTAGCATTATAATTTCTTTTTGTATTTATTTAAGCTTTTCCTTCCGTATTTCCATATAGAAGAGGTTAAATCCCTCTTATTAGTTAGCCCTGGATTTAATATAGCCTGCAGGTAAACAATTGTGTTAAATAACCAAAGTGTTTTGTATAATTTGCTGAAACATACCCACACAGGAGAACAGTTTGAATTTTCTTAGGATGAGGGAGGTTGTAGAGCAAAGGCATTCATAATGCAAGCCCTAGTTCTGGAGACTTTTTTCCTGAAGGAGCAGCAATGCAGGTCACCAGTCATACCTGAAAACCAGTGAAGCGTCAACTCCCACAAAAACAACAGGGAGAAAAAAAAAATCCCTACTGAAACCCAAAAAAACAATGGTCTGACCTTTTATCTCATGCATGCAATGGCTCTCTATATTCATTTTATCCTGGGGCCCTCAGGGCACCACGAAGAAGGGTCCAGAGGTCAAGGAAGTTGAAAACAGGCATAGAAAGATGTGCAAAGTGTATGAAATGTAATTCAGCCCTGGCCTCCTCTGCTTTCCTGGGTGACGGAGGGCAGGCGCAGAGCCCACCTGCAGGGTTCGTTCTTGCACTGCCATGGGGATACCTCACCCTCCGCGCTGGCCAGGGCTGGTACAGCTGGTACCACCAGCACTGGTATGGTTTGGGCAGTAAAAGCCTGCTGAGTGTCAGCTGTGCTGCTGGGCAATTGCCCAGAGGCAGCACTCAGCTGTACTTTTACTTGCCCCAAAGCATTTTCTGTGCAGCTTGAAGAGGCTGTAAGAAAAGCAAAGCACTATGTTCAAAATACAAAAGGGTAAAGTTTGTGATTTTTTTTTTATCTTTTAGACCTTACTGAAGACAGGAGTGTGCTTCTCTGGAGTTTTTTACTTCACCTGCGATTTATGTCTCAAGTCATTCGTGTTAATCAACCAAAGTTCTCTACAGACTTTATTTTTGTACAATACTCATTTTATAACTTTTTACAAAATAAAACTCGTTTCTATTGTTACCTGGTTGTTGCCTGTGCTTCTTTGCCATCCTACCACTTCCAAGTTACAGTATTTCCAAGTTCCTAAACCACATGGAGCAATGCTGAAGAGCCAGCAAGTCCTCTATGAAGTGAAGCTTTCCTTCCTATCTCTCCAGCATCTCTACTGTGAGTCAGTTGATCATTAGCCACTGCAATAAATGACTTGAAAATGCATGGTAATCGGTGACACAGCAATCAACACAGTGGAAGCCTGGTGTTACCCAAGCTGTCTCTTGCCCATGGAGGGCTGCAGTAGCATCATAGTGGCCTTGGCTATGCAGGGCTGCAACTTCTGCACTCGAAGGAGATTTGCATTTTGCTTTGCTAGCCCAGGCGTTACATCAGTTGGACTAGATTCCATCCACTTTGGCAGTCCTTTTCCCTTCATCTTTAATAAGGAAAATTGAAGAATTTTCTTTTCCACCACCATCATGGAAAAGATGACAGCAGGTTTTGTGGCTGTGGCTGGCAACATTTTCTCAACTGTTTCGTGTTAAGTGCTGCAGTTTCCATCACAGAACTGGGAAACGCATGCAGACTTACAGGTTTTGACACCGAGTTCTGTACAACTCAAAACTGCTACAAAGAGGAAGATGGAGCGTCTGAGCAGTGAGCCAGTGAGCAGGAGATCAAACACTCTTAATGTACAGCATATGGATGCCTTGATTTCATTTGTGCTGAGCAAGGCCATGCACGCAGCTCTAGCCCAGTGCTGGAACACAAAACAAAGCTCTCAAGCACTGCTTTTGAAGCACACGGTATTGAAGGCATTCCTTCTTACATGCCACCACCTCCACTCCTTGCAGCAGAAGCCCATCCACCGTGCACAAAGGCTGCTGATTGCAGTCTGGTTTAATATGGTACACGTGCAGTATTTGGCATGAAAATAACCTGCAGCTTCTTGTTCAGCAGAAATTAAGCACTTTAACAAGAGCTACATAAAACACAACTGTAGGGTGCTCTGAAGATTAATCTTTGATCTTACAGCCCCAAATTTCTGTCTCCTTTTTGTGGATGGGAAGAGCAAGGTTAACACTGAAGTCTTTCTTGGCCTTATCAGAGCTTTTAACAACTGGCAGGAGCAGGCTTGCTTGCATGGAGCTGTTTATGCTCCTTCCTCAACCTTTCTGGAGAGGATAAAAATGCAAGGAGAAGATGGGGTTTTGCCATTGTAACCCCAGGCTCACCACTGCTGGGTTGGCACCTTCAGATTTATTTTTTGGTTACAATACAGCTTGCAGTATTTCGCTGGCATCTTGCATGCATTAGACTGGCTTGAAACCTTCAGCTGGCAGGTTGTGTAGAAGATTTCAAAAAGGACTTAAGCTTTCCTTTGTCACCAGGTAGTGCCAGTGCTGGGAGACATGTCACTGCTTGAGTACCAGGGGCAGCACTACCCTGTGCCCCTTCAGGAAGGAGAATGTATGTCCCAAGTTAGAGAAATTATTTACAAGGGAAAGGATGGACCAGACCCCATAGTTATTTACATTTAATACTAAAGTCAGGAGAATGTTTTATTATTCAGTATCTCAATAAGAATTTTGGTGTTGTTTTTTTTTTAATTTTACATTAGGTTTTGTGCCATCAGTTAGCATTGTACTGTCAGACAAGAAGTGCTTGTTAGAGATTTGAGGGAAATCGTGATAATACCATATCCCACAGCTGTCTGGTGGTGCTGATCTCAGTGAGGAGAGGATGAAGTAGGGAAACTACTTCTTTTGGGTTGCTTCACCTCTGTCCTCAAAGGGGAGAAAGGCCAAAAGCAGCCAGTGCCTCAGTCTGAAGGAGGGCAGGAGGAAACTAGCAGCAGCCTCACTCCTTGCAGTCTGGATAGCTAGCCAAAAATACAGGGGAATATACAGAGGAAAATATCAGGATGAAGAAAACAAATCGAACTGACACATTGTATAAATAGGTCTTCAAATGTCATGCATGGATGGAACAAAGATGTTTTGTTCCAAAGCAAGAGACAGCTTGAAATGGCTCAGTAATACACATTGAGAAGTTTGCTTATTTGGAACAGAGCTCTTCTAATGAAAAGGTTAATTGTGTTGCAATGGAAAAGACAAAAAAAAAGGCAAATCAGAGGCCAGGCCTCCTCACCCTAGCAGAATTTCTCACTGTCTTGAAGAGAAGATTTTCTATAGCAAACATCACAGGTCTGAACTACTAACATTACAATAACTTACTCAGTAGATATATTCACAGGTCAATAAAAATAACTAAACAAACCATATATTCTAGCAGCATTAATCCCAGAGGCTTTCGGACAAGCTGCAGCAGCCAGGAAGAGAAATATGGTGTTCACCTCAGCCTGATGCCGGGAAGTTTCCTTGGGCAGGCACCAAGCACCAGTACTAGAGCAACACCAGCGCGTCTTCACTTGCTGTTGGCTTTTTCACTTTGAAATGGCAGCATTTTTTCACTTTTCCCCAGAAAGGTCACTCGCAAGCCTTTCTGCTTTGCAGCTGAAATGAAAAAGAATATGATGGGCTTTTGAAGGATACAGAAGGCTGCTCTAATTACCCACAGGGTTGAACGTTTGTGGGCAACTTCTCTAGGGTTTTGACAGCAATGCCACAGGCAGCAGGTTTCCTCCTGCTGCCCCAAACCTTTGGTTTCCTATCTCCCAGCACAATGGAAGAGGAATGCTTCTGTTTGTGTCACCCCAGGGAAGATACAAACATCAGTCCCTGGCGCAGAGCTGCAAACCTTATACCCAAGTGGTCCTCACAGGTCTAAAGCCACCAACATCCTCACCAGCTGCTCCACTGACTGTCGTGGAGTATCTCCAGTTTCATAGGAATGGAAGTAAGTATATCAAATCTGTCGATGCTCTCTGCAATATTCACGTACAAAGACTTGTACAATCTCCCTTGCCTTTCCTTTTCAAGTTTCTCTTACTCATTTCATATGTCCTGGGACTTCCAGAGCTTTGAGAAATTTCACTATGCTCTTACCATGTTATTAATTTGCCTTTCTTTGTTCCCTCCCCATTGGTGCTGTCTTTTGCTTGATTACCTCATCACTTCCACATTCGTCTCTGGCACCACAGATGTTGTAAACATGTCCAAATATTGTTGTTTCATGTTAAAATCATCCCCCTTCCAGGATACAAACAGGGGTGAACAGGCAGTCCTTGTTAGCATTTGGTATTATTTTTAATAGCAGTTTTAATCTGGAGATGAAAAATGTCCTCAACAAAATCCCAGAGCTTACAGATCAACTTTGGATAACTCTGAATTTCAAAATATACAGACTCCTTTCCTGCAGGACTGTGCAGGTCCTCTGAGGGTAAGAGTGGCATACACAGCCAGGGCAAGGATGAAGATCTCTCACTACCCTGTCTCAGTAGTGACAGCTGGAAAAGGAAAGAGTAGAATAAAATGGCAAGTTGAGAGTGTTACTTTCCCTGGAAACCCCACCCCAGCTCCAACAATTTGCAGTTCAGGAACTTTCTGAGCCAGATGTTTTATTGGTGTCCAATAGCCTTTGGCAGATCTGTCTCCCTGGGAAGGCACCCAACATCCTCCTCTGTGAATTTATTATTTCAGGCTCCCCTGTACTCTGGGGCAATTTCATTCTGTGCAATGAGAGTAAGAGCTTCTCTGCTGGCACTAAATCTCCATTTCATCAACTGAACACTCGTTCCTGTGTCCTGATGAATTGCCAATTCTCCTTCACCTTTGTAGTCCACATGCATCTGTCCAGTCTAAGGAGCCCTCATATCTGACCAAGGACACCAATTTGGTGGCCTTCTATGATGGGGCTACAGAACTGATGGATAGATGGGGCAGATAAGGCCACAAGGATGATAAAGCAGCCTAAGTACCTCCTGTATGAAGACAGGCTGAGAAAGCTGGGGCTGTTCAGCCTAGAGAAGAGAAAGCTGCGTAAAGGGGGGACTACAAGGATGCTGGGGAAGGACTCCTCATCAGGTACTGTAGCAACAGGACAAGGGGTAATGGGTTCAAACTTAAACAGGGGAAGTCCAGGTTAGATATAAGGAAGAAATTCCTTACTGTAAGGGTGGTGAGGCACTGGAACTGGTTGCCCAAGGAAGCTAGCAGAGTTTAAGGCCAGGTTGGACGGAGTCTTGGCTGACATGGTCGACAGTGAGGTGTCACTGCCCATGGCAGGGGGATTGGAACTAGATGACCTTAAGGACCTTTCCAACCCAAACCATCCTATGATTCTATGATCTTTCACCATTCATATCTTCTATCTTCCAGTCAGACCATGTTCCTCCTGAGAGGAAGATGCTTCTATCAGAATGCTGGACAGAAGCAAACCATGGATTTCCACAGAGGCACAAGGATATTTTCTGTTCGGTTTTCCATGCTATTTCCAATAACTCTTTTGAGGTGATCGATGGGGAACTCATCAAAGACATGACTTCATCAGATACATGAATTCAGAAGCAACATGTTGCATCTTTTTTTTGGAAGCACCATGTTGCATCTTTTTGGAAGCACCCTTCATTTAACAACAAACTTCTCCATGTGTCAGTCTGAACCCGACTGACTCCAGTTTTGCTGATCTATACAAGCCGTCATGTGGTGGCCAAAAGAAGATTTCATTTTTCTGATGTGAAACCATCATGTGCAGCTGCTGTGGAGCCAGGAAGCATTGCCCTAGGGTTGGGCCACTGTGCAGTACCAACTGACACCCATGTCCCAGAGCTGTCAGTGTATGGAGACACAGAGTCTCCAGGTTTGAGGCAGCCATCTGACTTACGAACAAATCTTGTCACTGATTGCTCACAGAAAGTTAAAGGGATCTTGTCTTCTGGGATCTACTTAGAGGGCTGCCTTAAAGCAGAAAGAATCATAAACAGTATGTTGGCCCTTCTTTCAAATGGTAATTACTGGAGGAAAGGATATGGCTACAAGTGGAATCTTATTTAAAAACCCAGAACAAATAAGTTTCAAGGCATTTTTGCATGTGGTACAGAAACCTCCTTTTCTGATTCTGACACC